GTGGCACGTTTGACGCAACACAAGATTATTGAGTTAGGTTAGGAAATTATCCCCCAACCCACCATATTCTCCAGATATGGCACCATCAGATTACCATCTTTTTCGTTCGCTGCGACACCATCTTAATGGAAAAACGTATGCAAATGTGGAAGGTGTTAAAGAGGACATCGACATATTTTTTGCTTCAAAGCCAAGTGATTTCTTTAATCAGGGCATTAACAACCTGATTACAAGATGGAAAAGCATCATCAATACGAATGGAGACTATTACATTTAATAAATGTTTTGTTTTGATATATAAGTTGTTCGGGGGTTTTTTCATCTAAAAAAAGCGACATTAATTTCTTGACGACCTAATACTTGGTTTTTGAAATTAATAATTCGTTTTATTTTATTAAATTATTAAATCCCATGTTTATAAACCAGGTGGTTAGGGCGCTTGACTCGCAATCTGAGGGTCGTGGGTTCGAATCCCCGTCCCACCAAACATGCTCGTTCGAAAAAGAGTAACCCAAGAGTTGGCGGGGGTGATGATAACTAGCTGCCTTCATTTTAGTTTTTCACTGCTAAATTAGGGACGGTTAACGCAGATAGCCCTCGTGTAGCTTTGCGCGAAATTCAAAACAAACCAAACCAGACGTATGACAGCAATAAAGAAAACACAGTAGTCCAACAGTATGAAACACAGTGTAACAATAAAATAGAACAATTGTACGACGAAACGATCAACGCAAAACATAATAAAAATTACAAATGTAAAAGTTTAGGTAATCCATTTACCCTAGGAAAAATGAGTAGCAATAGAAAAAAAAAAGACTATAGCTTTTTATTGAGAACACAAATCTTGTTAACAAATTCAAAGGTGGGTACTTAATATATATACTTAAAATTCCACTCTTATTTAATTATAATATTATCATAAAATGAACTTAGAAAGCATAAACATAACAAATATTGAATTAATTATACTTTCAAAAATACCTTTATTTAAAAAAAATAATTTACAATTGTGATTTAGTGAAGAGGTACATAAATAAATGTTTGGATGAATTTCGCGCAAAGCTACACGAAAGATACATTCGTTAGTCGTCCCCAATTTAGAAGTGATGTACTAGAACGAAGGTTACTCTTTACCTACTAAAATTGGAATTAACGGTTGAAAGAGCACGCACTTTTGGCGACGAGGGTCGAACCTGCGACTCACAGGTTAGTAGTAAAGTGCCTTAATCACCAAGCCATACTCGGCCCATATATGAATCTAAATGGTTTAAGGTATAATGCAAACTTTGAAGAAAGACTCGGGGGTAGCATAGAAATGCTAAACAAGAAAAGCAAAAATAATTCTTAAGAATTATTTAAACATTTTTCAAATGTATTATTTGCATCTATTTTATGCCGTTTGAATTGAATAAACAGAAATTTAAAAAGAAATATATAAACATTTAAC